CACACACACACACACACACACAGAGACACCCACACCCACACACAGTGTTTCTATTACTTCAGAGGACACTGACCTACATTAATTTCCTGTAGATTTGCCCTAAAGTTGGCCCCTAAATGTTATTTACATTGCGAGTGTTTACTCTTCATCTCCAAATGGAAATCCAAGCGTCACAGTGTGACGGTGCACAATAGATTTTTAGGTTAAGTAAACTCACAAATGTTTACACATAAAGAGATGCTCAAGTTTCTCCTTTTATCCTGTACGGAGGCTTAAGTATTCCTTCTGGGTGAGGTAGAAACACACACACACACACAAAGGAAGCATTTAGTTTCTCCGTGGCCACCACCCACATCTTTCACATGAGCAGCATGAGTGTTGCAGAAATGAATAAGATCCTTGCTGTTGATTTAATTTTTCTGTACTTGCTTTTTTGTTTTTTAGAAACCTCAGCATGCATGTCAGCTAACAAACCTTTATTTATTTATTTTTGGTAGTGTCATTTATCAGCCTAAGATGGTTCATAGCAGAACTGTACACACACCCCGTGCACTGCAGTCTACTGAATACTGATTTAAGATGTGTTGCAGCCCTCCGTATTAGTCGTACGCTACACTATTTTCCTATGGACGAAAAAGACAACCTGTGATGCTTTTAATGTAATGCGCCCAGTCAATCTATGGTTCTTCTATATCTGTGTTATGAAAGTCCAACTGCAAGGAATACTGTCAAGGGTCAGCCAGGCAGCTTCATGCTCTGCCTGCCAGTACATGACACCATCTTGGCTCAGCGTGGCCCACAAACTTCAGCCCCTGACATCAGCTTTATGTCTCCTTCTCCTCAAAATTACGATTTTTTTCTTCTTCTTTCATTTAAGAAGGCCGTGTCCCCAGCAGCACAGCAGCTCTGTAATAAAGAAGTCTGCCAAGTTATGTCAGGTCAAACAAATGATGGTTGGCCCACGCTGCATGCATGCAGGGTTCACTCAGGAGTCAGCGTTTTTAAGAAGAAAATCTGAAGGAGAGGGAATTTGTATCTCATAAAAAGTCTATTTTAGGCTTAAAAAAAGACAAGTTAATAGTGACACCTTTGGAGAGCAGCTTCTGAGTGGCAGTGATGTTAAAAAGAGGAGTTTGTGTTTCGAGTTCAGAGTGGCACAGTTTTATGCACACAGCTGACTTCAGGATGATGTTTTCATCTTCCTAAATGTGGATTTTTAATTTGTCTTAAGTCATGACCTTTGCCCCTTTTTATTTAAACTATCTGTGGCTTGCTTCATCACTGGCACTGCTGCAATGCATATTAGAAGTGAAAAGCTCTGTTATGTCTTCCTATTGAATAATCTGCATAATCCACAGAAGATTTCAAAGATGATTGTGTCGTGTTGGTGAAATAAAGTGCAGCTGAGTAATAAACCAGCTCCTAAACCTATTATTAAGTGTTGTCAGAATTATCTACATTTCCAGTGTCTCCACTTTAAACATCAGGTTTTTATTGGGGAGATAAAGGTGAGCTTCAGAAAGAGTGAGTTGAAAAGAACGAAAAAGGTCAAAGAGCGAAAAGCTGTAAGAGAGACGGGGCCCTGAGTTTGGGGGAAATTGCAGGGTTCTCCACCCTGTAAAACTAACGACAACAAGGGTTTATTTTACGTCCATATTTGGTAAAAACCTGGTTTTTATCACAGCTACAAGTCCAGCTATGTTTGTGTGTCGGATTTAATGAATCGTGTGTTGGTATTGTGCAGGACTCAGAAGGTCCATATTGATGTTTCAGTTTCGTTAGATGGACATTGTTTAAAAGCCCTGGTTTATTTTGGCCTCTGAGTTTGAGTAATGACACGTCTCTCCAACATATTACGCCTGGTTTTTTTCAGGAACCTGACTGTTCGTTTCAAATGCAGGTGTTGCCCAGAGAGAGAGAGAGTGTGTGTGTGTGTGTGTGTGTGTGTGTGTTCATGTGGCTGTAAGGTTAAAATCAAGTTGCTGCACTGGTGTGTAATTACACTTCCTGTGAGCCTGAAAACAGCTGTTCCCTTCCTCTTTAATCTGGCATGAATATACACACTTCCAAAGAGTAGTAATCAGCCAAAGTGATTGGTTTGTTCTCAGGTACTGGAAGATAAGGGATCAGGTGTTTTTAACATCTCTTTTGCCATTCTTTAGATTTCGTCTTTTCGTATTTTGTTTATATTTTCACTGGAAAATAGTAATAGTTGTTGATGTTTGCACTGTCATAATCAAATCTTTATTTTGAACATATAAGTAACAAGTGTCAATAAGTATTAGAGAATAAAAAACAAATAAACACAATCATTAAAAGCCATCATATTCAAGAGGAAAACAAGAACAAAATGTTAACCATATCCTGGTCAGCCATTCCTACCCCCATCTAGCTCATCTTATACATCTGTTTACAGTATACAATCTAATATATGCTATAAATAAATATACCTGCCTAATACATGGATTCATGTTATATTATTTTTATATATTGATCTGTAATTATTCAACTACACATATCCAAAGGTATTGCTTTTCATACTTTGTCATACTATGTATACATGTGGCTTTAATGCTGTTACAGTAACAATAAAAGTGTTTGTACATCATCCCTGTAATGTTTTTTACTGTTGAAATGTCTGAGGATATCTTATCCAGGCTCTTGACTGTTGCCAAACATTTCAGTTTAGTTGCTGTGGGATTATTCAGTATGTACACAAGCTGCTTTAAAAAAAAAAATTTCTGTGAGATTTTCTAAAAAAGGATAAATGTCATTATATCCCCTGCTCTGTCTGCTTGATTTCTTTGGCTTTATCTAAAACATTTTGACTCTTTTGTTTTTTCTTTTAAATGATTTACTGTAAAAGCCAATATGATATAAAATTTGCAAAGAGGGGGAAAAGAAATCAGTGAGTCTTGATTTATGGAGGGTACTGATTTGTTAAAGGGACTGAGTGTTAGTAGTTTGATGACGTAAAGATGAGGAGATAAGAAGTCCAGACAAAGTAATTACAGTTTTTTGTTTTTTAATGTGGGACTTGAGGAGAAGCTGGCCTAAAGGCTGCAGAGCTGCAGACGCACACACACACAGCTCTTCTGTTGTTTCTTTATCGCAGCCACTGACGCTCTGTCTTTGTCCGGTCTCTGCTAACATTTACTTTTTATCGCATTGGAAGTTGTGGGGGTGTTTTTTCCCTTTTATTTGTCAGAGGGAGGGTCGGGGTTATTTGAAGGAAGTGGGCGTATGGTGTTGCCTTACGTGCAGAGTCACATGACAGGCATGGGTGGGAGGGGCAGGCAGGGAGCTTCCAGAGCCACAGCAGAGTTTGGCCTCTCACTGGAGCGCTGCACTTCGACAGGGGACAGCTCATACACACAAACACTTCACACACGGTGAGTGCTTTGCATACTGGCAGGGAGCGTAAGTGTGTGTGTGTGTGTGTGTGTGCATGTGTGTGTAGAACTGTGTATGTTAAAAATCAGTTGGAAGTGGAGGAAGGAAGTTTTCTCCTTTGTTCTTTACTTGTGTGTTTGTCTTCTTACCAGAAAGAAGAAAACTGTTTGTTTTTCAGTCCAGCTGTTCAAACATGTAATGTTACTGATGTGTTTTAACCAAGCTTAAATATGCACGTGGCTATTAATTTGTTGGTTGTAAAGAAGCATGGCTGTGTATTTCACAGACAGTGCTCAGGATCTCAGGTTGGGATATTTTTCTCATTTTTGTGTGAGCATGCTTTCACGGATAATTACCATTGTTCAAGTTTTGCATTCCCTGTCTTTCATCTCCTAAATGTTGTGCATGTCTGCTGTGTGGCACGCTTTGTAATCGATCTCTCTGTGTAATACACACACACAGACTCACACACACGTCTGTTTATGTATCCAGGGGGATGTTCCATCATGTTCAACCCCATTTTTTTCTGTTTAAACTCCCAGTTTTATTTTTGTTTCCTTCCTCCTGACGTTGTCCACACACCAGACTGCTGTTGCTGACAATGACATAGTACCAGGCCAAATACGTATGCAGAGTGGACAGTTAGCACCACACACGTGGTTAGTAGGCTTTGA